CCTCCTCTCCTGCTCTCTAGCAATGAAATGTTCTGTCGTCTTTTTTCGTCTTCACTTTCTACCCCCACCCCCTCACCTCCTTTGCTCCCTCCTCCTCCTGCAGCCTTTCTACTGCTACTCCTTGGCTCCTTAAATTTCTTACAATTAAACTGCCATGCTGTCTTTCAGCCACACCCCTGATCTTCTGGTAGGAAAGGTCTACGCATAGCCTTCTCGGACAATAGGTTGTCTAAAGTCAATTTATAGAGTAGGCTTCGGCCGCCACCCGGGCAAAATTCAAAATTTTTTACCAGTAAAAACCTCAACGATCACGGCCTGAACGCCAACTCGTCGGTACCAATCAATATGTTTTTACGCCCCTTTGTTTTTTTTTTCGTTCATGTTTTTCTCCTGTTTTATAAAGATACATTACCGGGGCATTGGTGTCATCATAAAAGAATAATAGTCCTGACGCAAAGTCTTTCATTAACTGGGAGTAGATCTATAGGCCTATTCTCTAACGAACACACTTAAAAACTCATGGCATCCCCCTGACCCAAGCTCTCCGGCTGGTGGCATTAAAGAGACGTCCCTTTCTTCCCGCGACACCCAAAAGGGTAGGCCTATAAGCGGCGGAGAAGTAAAGTAAAAGTTTGAACAGACAAAATTATGATTGTCTAGAGAAGCTAGGCTGAAAACCATTTGTTGGGTAGGCCCTATTAGCCTATTGGCTAGGCCAAAGCCGGCCGGCCGCTTGAACCCCAACTAGGCCTAGTGGCAGCCAGGGCTCGGGGCCCTTGGGGGCAAGCGGCAAGCAACAATAAGCAGCAAGCAGGCAGGGCAGTGAGAGGCGAGCGAGAGGCAAGGCCAGCCCAGCAGCTCTTTGTGCGACAGGGTATTTTGACTACATTGCCAAATAGGTACCCAGCAAAGACAAAAAATGCTCATAATTTATTATTGAAATTTGTGTCACCTTGGAAGAAAGTCTTCAGAAGTAATTCTCAAGACAATCAAATTTTAATTATTAAAACAATTATATGTGAATTGTTATTTTCTGTCTCATCATCATGCAAAAGAAGGAGCATTATGGTGCAAAACAGTGAAGTTATCAAAACCTTCATGTGCTTCTAGTTTTTAGCATGACTACAGGAAAAAATCTGGCCAATATTTAGCATTCAAACACACATGCATTCACAAAAGAGAAAGACGCCATTTTCTTTTAGCTAAGGTTTTAGAAGCACAGGCAGTGTAGGGATAGAGAGCACACGTGGGAAAAAATGGCACAAGCAGGTGGATACCGTGAGGAACTTGAAAATGAATTGAAACAGACTGATCCAAATTCCCACGCAAGCCGATTGGTTGCCCAAGGTATGTAGATTAAACGTTTTAAATTAGTTTCATCTTGGTTGGTTTTCGATCGGTGTTGTGGCGCCGGTTGGATAGGCCTACCCGTCAATGGTCAAGACTCAAGAACGAATTGCCTGCAGTGTAGTGCGTTTTTCCTCTTGATTCTAGAGTTATCTCGATTTTTAAATTGCCTTACGGGATCTAAATCTAAAATCTAGTTCTAGATATCTGGTTGTTATAGACTTATGGCCACCACTATTCTCACCCAGGCGAGTCTTGTGGCTATTCTCACCCGGTGCGCGTTCACCAAATTTTGCGTTCACCCTAAACCACAGAATTCTACACTGTGATAACAGAAAAATTGTAGAATTCTGTGCCGTGAACAAACGTTCCATTACAGCTGTAGCCTACTAAAAGCGTACAATTTTGTCTGTGGGCAGTGGAGAGAGAGAGAGAGGAGTAGCGGAGAATTTCCGTCCGGGCAAAACAAAATGACGACCCGCGTAGTTCGGCTCGATTCGAAAAGTTAAATAGCCGTAGCATCTTTGTATTTGTAGACAACCAAATTAATTTACTTTTGTGTTTTAACATCATTTTTCAACTTTGTTTTGGTCAATTTGATCGTCCACACCGATAGACAGTATTCAGAAAGGGAAGTGTCTCCCGAGACCAGGGAAATTTTCTGCGTGTGCGCATGCTCAAACCCCGAGTCCAACTTCCTTTCCTTTCAATTTTCGACTTCAAGATGGCGGCCCCCATCTCCGTAGGGCAGTATTTCGACTCATTTGATGATTTTATGGCCGTCTTGACGTCGAGGAAAGCCGAAAGCAACGAGCATCTAGTGGTAGGGAAGTCCAGTTTGACAGTGAGGGCTGCAAATTCAAAACTGAAAGGCAACTTTTGTTACAAAGAGGATTTGAAGTACACCCACGTCACCTTCAGGTGTGTCCACGAAGGCAAGTTCTCTTTAGAGACAATAGACCACACCAGACCACGATCATAACAATAGACCACACCAGACCACGATCCTGGTCTCTTTAGAGACAATAGGCCACACCAGACCACGATCATAACAATAGACCACACCAGACCACGATCCTGGTCTCTTTAGAGACAATAGGCCACACCAGACCACGATCCTGGTCTCTTTAGAGACAATAGGCCACACCAGACCACGATCATAACAATAGACCACACCAGACCACGATCCTGGTCTCTTTAGAGACAATAGGCCACACCAGACCACGATCATAACAATAGGCCACACCAGACCACGATCATAACAATAGGCCACACCAGACCACGATCCTGGTCTCTTTAGAGACAATAGGCCACACCAGACCACGATCCTGGTCTCTTTAGAGACAATAGACCACACCAGACCACGATCCTGGTCTCTTTAGAGACAATAGACCACACCAGACCACAATCCTGGTCTCTTTAGAGACAATAGACCACACCAGACCACGATCCTGGTCTCTTTAGAGACAATAGGCCACACCAGACCACGATCCTGGTCTCTTTAGAGACAATAGGCCACACAAGACCACGATCATAACAATAGACCACACCAGACCACGATCCTGGTCTCTTTAGAGACAATAGGCCACACCAGACCACGATCCTGGTCTCTTTAGAGACAATAGGCCACACCAGACCACGATCATAACAATAGACCACACCAGACCACGATCCTGGTCTCTTTAGAGACAATAGGCCACACCAGACCACGATCCTGGTCTCCTTAGAGACAATAGACCACACCAGACCACGATCATAACAATAGACCACACCAGACCACGATCCTGGTCTCTTTAGAGACAATAGACCACACCAGACCAGGATCCTGGTCTCTCTAGACTCACAGGCTAGACAGACCAGGATCCTGGTCTCTCTAGACTCACAGGCTAGACAGACCAGGATCCTGGTCTCTCTAGCCTCTTCCTTCAGAAAGAGACAGAGAGAGAGAGAAGAGGGGAGGAGTTGGTCTTGCGAGAACTTCCTGGCGGGTGAGAACGCCACTTTCTAGACTTATATAGATCTATCTAGAATCTAAATCTGTGATTATCATCGAAGTCGAGTCTGGCAGGGAAGTGTCAGAAGACAAGGGGGGGTGCTGGTTCCTCTGGCAGGGAAGGTGCTTTTGTGCTGTGGGGAAGACAGTACATGGTGCCAGCTTTCCAGAGTTAAGGCTAAGGACCCTGTCCCTGCCTGGATCAAAGGGGATAATGCCTGCAGCCCTTGCCCTGAAGCTTTGGCCACTTTGGGCGGCAATTCCAGGTGTTGCTGATTTGTCTCACTGAGTCTCAGACAGGTTTCAGAACACTGGCGAAGCTATCCAGGTTCACAGCATTGGGCATTGGGTAAGATTGAAGAATACCGGACCAGCGGACTGACTTTGCCTGTCTCAACCGTAGAAATTCCATGATTTTCCCCTGATTTTAATAGATCTAGAAATCTAGAATCTAAAATCTATCTCTCAATGGAGAATCTCGGACCGGTAGATCTATTCATTAAAGTTTTGTCAGGGGGGAGACCCCCACCTCCTCCTCCACCCAAACCGCCCGCCCCACCCATACTACGAGTGGTCCGGTATTCTTCAATCTTCCCCAGCATTGCCGCAGTTGGCAATGTGGTGACGAGTAGCTTGGGTATACCGTAGCTTGAGCCCATGCAGGTTTTATAGAGCCAAAAAAGGCTTGGCAAGGTCGAGGGGCTGTACTGTATTAGATGGCTGGCATGGGCCGTTCTCCAGGCAAAGAGTTGATGTCTCAATTAAGGAGGTGTGAAACGTGTGCCCATCAACCAGAAGTAGCTTAGTATCAAGTGCTTCTTCACAGCTTTGTGTTGGGTATGAAGAATTCTTGCAGCCGAGTAAAGAAAATGGCTGCTGTCATCCAGCCTTTATCGGAGGCGTGTACAGTGGAACTCGTACAGTGAAACTCTACACAGCAACACAACTTTTTGGTAAACAATCGAGATGACACAGGCGTGTGCATTTGATTGAACGAATCAGTCTTTTTTTTTTTTACACAGCTCATAATATGCAGGCATTTCAGGCACTACTTGTGACTTCTCTTTATACATTACTTGCTCAGTGCCTGTAATTATCTACACAAAGCCCTGTGTTTGCTATAACGAACACTTCGATTCAAGGAGATTTTTGGCTAGAAGGCTTGGTGTGGTGACCTCGTTGAATCCGAGTTCTACTGTATGACAGCTCCGGGAAAACCTCTGGCTAAGTCCTTCTGTGGCAGTTACTTGTATGGGTAGACCATCACTGGAGGAAGGTAGTGGCCGGTGGCATTAATGCAAGCCAAAACTGTCACCAAAATTTGGAGGTGGGGAAAAAGGATGGGGTGGTAATTGACACATAGATTTACATGATTTCAAAGATGGAACAGTAGCAGTAAAATTATTTGACCAAACTTAATATCAAGATTTGGATGAGAATAAAACTAATCTAATCTATGTCGTGTAAGTTGGGTTTTTGGTTGCTGAGTGTTTTTGTTTTCTTTCTTATAGAACAATTTTTACGGCACCTGAGTCTTTGTGTTCGATGTCAGATTATAGATATGCTTGCTTCCCTTGAATGCTGCAACCTTCCTGCCTTTGATGTCAAAGGCAAAGCCGCTCTCATCAGAGTTGTAAATGTGGCTTCCATCCTCCAGAAGAGAAGGGTCCATGGCTTCGATATGTTCCCTCAGCTACTTGAACCATTTTGATAGCCTGGGGTGTCAGTGTCGCCCGTTCCTTCTCATCTCATGGTCCATGGTCGACCTCAGGGTGAGCTCTGGATGTCTCTCAAATAACCGGTATACCCAGGCCACAGATAGCATGTTGATGTTCTTGTTGTCTTTCTCTGGTGGCCGCCGCAAATCGATGATGGCTTGGGCAGTTCTTCGGATATCATGTCGTCAGCCCGAATCCAAATTTGCCCCTGTCCAATATGAACTTTACAAGTTTGTCCTCTTCTTCAGGTAAAAGAAGGCTCACTATTTTAGGTGCCAGCGGTGTCTTGCCCACTATTTTGTCATTCAATGTAGAAAATGGAATTTTTAAAGTCTTAATAGCATGCTTTGAGTCATTTGACCTGTCTTGACACTTTCAATTGCCTGGAGAATCACATTTGGATCATGTAACTTTTTCTCTGTTTTGGGAGTTTTTTTTCCTTTTCGCCAGTCTTTCTTGGTCATCCCTTGATTTTGTTCAGATCTTTGTTTCTGTAATGAACACATGAAGGACCTTTCTTAGTGATTCATTATCTTTAAAAATGTTATCACTACTGGCATATATATCTCTCTAATTCTAGGTTATTTAAATTATGAATTTATGCACAAAATCATAATTCTTTATGTCTTTTAACCATTGTAACATGTTGTTTGCCTGAAGGATGAGAATCGATACTTTTTTTTTACATCGGCCATTATTCCGCTATGCCCCGTGCATTCATTGTGGGTTGGTCGGCAGTACATTTTAACCTGCATGTTGATCAAAATCTGGATTACTTTTTGTGCCAATTTCCTCCTTTGTGTGTGTGTGTGTACTCGTGGTGGAACACCAAACCAATGTGCCAGGATCTGGACAATAAAGATGTATCTTATCTTATCTTATCCTTTCTATCGTTCCCTTATTCTGTCTGTCTATCTTCGGATTGTTGCCGCGGCTGGAACATCTGCACGTTGATCAAGTAAATCGACTTGTGATCTTACCAGTGCTTCCACTCTTCCGTATTTTTACGGTCAGTTGTGTACTTGTTCTTCCAAGCTGAGAAATGAACTGTTGAGAAAAAAACCTTGTTTCACACGCTCATATGACCTTGACCTTATGTAGTTGTAAGCGCCATAAAACCCCATACTAAACTAAACTAAGGCCTAGCTTGGCTGGGTTTTTTTTTCTCAGTGAGCTGGACTTTTGCAGTTATTACTCACAAGTAAACTAATAATAGATCTCTTACATGAGCACTTTGTCTTTTCTAATGCTTGACACTCAATACTCATACTACATATAATGTAGTAATACAATTTAGTATGCATGTAAAATGGCAAGGACCGGGACTATGTTAATTTACACTGGTTGAAGTTTTTTTCAGGACTTATCCGGGGGGGGGGGGCTATTGGACACGTAGTTGGAGTACTTGACGTAGGCCTACTTTATGATTTAAAAAATATTAGCTCATTGACGACGCAAGTTTTTCACCAAAAATTTCCCTGGAGACCCACGATTTTTACCTATTTTCAAAAAATCAGTTCAGTGTGATAAACCTATCAACTGTACAGGTATAAAAGTTGACACAAAGTAAGATCATCATGTATACTTACATAAAATGTATTTATTTTTACAAAGACTTTGAAAAAATTGTTTTAGGTGAAAAAAAAATTATATTATGTAAACATGGAAAAAACTTTTTTTTAATGAGCTAAGCACATGGATCTCAGAATTGATTGTAGTGAATTAAAATGGTTTCAAACAAGTAATACTAAGTGACATTATCTATAAGAATAGTGGCACTGCCAGGAGCATTGTAGTCTCCTGAATCAATAATCCCTCTATGGCTTCGTTTCGTAGTGAAAGGAGCTTCCAGCAGCTGTTTCTTGTTTATGTAAAAAGTAGGTCAGGTCAGCGTTTTTCGGCAGATTGCTTATAGCAGACAATTCGGGTGACCAATGGTCAAAGGGATACAACCACAATAAAGTTAAATGGTTTAACTAACACTGGGAGTCATTCCCCTTGAGATTCTATTAGTTTTTAGGTAAAAAAAAAAACGGTACAGGTTGTCGGGTCCCGGGACCCAGCGCGTCTTCAGAGTTTGTTTATCTCGCCGGGACCCGGCACGTCGTGAGTGAGTTAATAAAAACTGAACAAAATTTTAGATTTGAATGGAGCTGAATTCTGGCCAGGATGGCATAATGATGAGGGATGACTTGTGTGTTTCTAGGCCTCATGATCGAAGTCGTACCT